AATATGTTAACATTTTGGGAACCTGGGTGAAAGGTATCTGATAATTCTTTGAACTAGTCTTGCCATTTTTCTGTAAGTAGGAATTACATTAAAATAAGACTTTTTAAAGAGCCGATGGTAAAAACAAGATAAAACTCATGTGCTGGCGAGGAAGGGCACAGATCCTGCTTGGACAGGGTGAAGGCTGAGAGGGCGGTGCAGCTGGGGTCGTCTCTGAGGCCAGAAGGCCAGGCTGAGTGGTCAGGCTGCACCAGCGTGGTGGCATGTGGACACAGAGGCTCGGTGACCATGCTCCTAATTCAACCATATCTGTCCAGCCTCGAGCACCCCCAAGGCTTTAAAAGCCAACTTCTCAGTCCGGCTGCTTATTCTTGAAGTTACCCACAGGCAGGCACACACACATGGGCAGGGCACGGTGTGGTTTCCACTCCAGCAATCCGCAATCCGTGCGAACATAGTAGCCTCCCCTTCACAGGACAAGAGAAGGCCATTGTCATGGAGTCACCCCCTGGGGAAGTGGAAGCAGATACCCTCTGCATATTCTTAAAACAACAACAACAACAACAACAAAAAACACCAAGAGAGGGTAATTAACTCATCCAAGGTCACACAGGTGGCAGAACCTAGACCACGACACCAGTGTTGTAGGCTCCCATCAAGTGCTTACATCCTTATTTCTTGGTGCCACCATCATTATACTACCAATGGGCTCATGGTTGGCCTTGCATTCTGGTTCCTTCCTTTGAAATAGAGACATCATCTTCCCATTGTTTTCTAAAGTAGCTGTCCAGGGGGAAGAGTATGCATACCTATTCCATAACATGGGCTTCGAAGTCGGACAGACTGTGGTGAAATCACCCCCAAAAGGGTGATCTTGGGCAGGTGATTTAACTTCCTTGAGCTTCTCTGATTTAACCTCATCTGGAAGATGAAGACGATGACACCTAACTTGTTGGGTTGTTGTGAAGATTTATTACCATGACAAATATTATGGAACACTGATCTAGGTGCTGCGGATATGGCAGTGAACATCAGCCAGATGAGGGCCCTGAACTCGAGGAGCTTCCATTCTAGTTGGAAAAGACAATGAATAAAAAATAAACCAATAAGATTTTTTTTTTTTTTTTTTTAGATAGTGATAAGTAGTGAAAAGAAAATAAATTTGAAAAATGGGATGATGGGAGGCGCAAGTGGTAGGGGCTGGTTGCGCTACTTCAGCTAGGGCAGATGTCTCTGCAAAGGTGACATCTGAGCCGGAAGCTGAATAAGGAGAAGGCAATGGCTGTGGCAAGACCTGGGGGAGGCTGAGGGAGCAGGGAGGGCAGCCCTGGAGCAGAGGCTGAGCTTGGCTTGGTGAAAGGATGAAAAAAAGGCCAGCAGGGTGAAAAGGTGATGAGCTCGAGGGAGAATGGCGGATATAAGGTAAGTGATAGCAGGGGCTACATCATGCTGGGTTTGGAAGGGTGAGACGTTTAGAATTTACTTTCAATGCACTAGGACTCCACAGAGAGTTTTGAGCAGGAGAGGGTTACGACATCTCATTTTTTAGATTGAAATAAGATAATATATGTAACGTTATCAGTACAGGACCTGGCACGGGGTAGATATTTAATAAATGATAGCTTTATCATTGTTTATCATTCCTAGGCATCACCACTAATCATTACAGACTTCCAGAAGGTGGGTGGTCCATGCATATCTTCCCTCTAGAGGCCAAGCACCTGGATGCACCTGACTAGGGGAGGGGGAGAGCAGTAGGAGCGACTCCTGATTCCTTTGACTTCCGCCCTCTTCCCTGCCACCCTGCCACCCCCACCCCAAGGCAAGTGCCAGCCACCTCTGTCAGGCCAAGGGGCAGCCAGGGTAGGATCGGTGGGCCCCCCTCCAGCTGGCCCCAGCTGCAGGCCTCCTAGCCGCCTTCATGTTACTGTAAAAATGCAAAGCATTCCAGCCATTTTAATTACTGGGCGTTGCATAAGCCAGCAACCAGTGCACACAAAGGAACAACAGACAAAAAATTATTTTTCAACATGCCTTCAGCCTCTCCCTCCTTTTCCTCTGAAATCAGCCTTCAATCACTGGCTCCCAGGCCTTGAAAAGCACTCCAGGTATGTGCAATCTCTTTTGGAGTTTGTTGATGTGACATCAAGATCTTTTATTCCCCTAAATACTTGAGGCAGAGGCAGTTTCGACTACCTTCAAGCGGTTTGGAAAGTTACTGGTGATATTCCTACTTGACTTGCTAAGACTATCTTAGGGACTCCATGATATACACACCGAAAATTTGGTTATAAAACAGAGTTCAGTGTGTAGTGGATCTATCTGGGCACCAAGTTAGGGGGTTTTAGTTTCTGAAATTCCAAATGACCTCATGATAACGTACCCCCAAGGAATGAACCCCACACGCAATATTCTAGTAATGCTTAGACATGGAAATGAGTTTCTTAAAAGTTTGTAATATGATTAGAGAAGCTTCCAGTTTCCTAATTCTGATTTTTCAGTAGCTTCTGAACTCTTTCCTCACTAACAATTTAATCTAACAGTTTGTTGAGGACCTACTGTGTGCCAGACATCGCGCTAAATGCTCGGAAGAGAAAACTCAATTAGATTTTGTCAATTAGCTTGCTTTCTAAAGAGAGAATGACACAGAAACTGACGTACCAGCACAGTGTGATGAATATCAAGGCAGAGGTAATCTCTGATGGGTGGCACCAAGATTGGGCAGAATGAAAAGCTACTTGTGGGAGATGATGCCTAATAATAATATTGCCTTAATAATCACATTTGACCGTGGCCATTCACTGATGGCTAGCTCTGCGCCAGGCTTTCTGCTAAATGCTTTGCACGCACTTGCAAAATTCTAGAAAAAATAATAATTGGCTCTCATAAACCAGCATGAACTGGCTCAAGCACACTCCACAACCTCACTCTCCCTCCCTCTCTAGACAAGTAAGAGGTAGCCAGCTCAGAGGAGGAAAAGCACCCTAGGCAAAGGGAATAGCATTAACAAAGACCTAAGACGTGGATATGAGAGAACAGAACAACAGTAACATTTAACGTTTGCAAAATGTTTTCAACCAATCACCTGAGTATAGAAAGGTAGTTATAAGCACAGAACTGAATGCTGAACTTCGAATTCTGGTTCACCACTTATTAACTGTGTGACCTTAGCCTAGTTACTGAACCTCTCTGTGCCTGAGCTTTCTTTTCTGTAAAATAGGCATGATACTAATAGCCCCTGCGTAATAGAGTTGTGAGAATTAAATACATTTATACCTGTAAAGTACATAGAACTGGGCCTGGCACATATAAATGCTTAGTCAATGTTATTTATTATTTAATCCTTGAAACTAACTCTGCGAATTAGATGTTTGTCCTCACTTTATAGAGAATAAGTATAAGCTTTGAGAGAAACTTAGAGAGAATGAGACTTGAACAAGTGTTCTGATTCTAGTGTCCGTGCTCATCCCAAGGGCCGGAAATCAGTGACACTATCGAATATTATTCTCTAGGAGGCTCACTGCCCTAGTAAGTGTCTCTTCTGATTGGGGTCATATCGATTCATGTTCCTACACACCCTGATCAGTGGGTGCAAGGCATTCTGGGAAGGAAGACCCACCCGGCCACAGACACTGGGCATCCCCCGCTTGTATCTGCATGTTCACCTTCTCCATGAAGATGCAGGCTAGCAGGGTGGTTAAGAGCCTGGGTTCTTGAGCCAGATTGCTCTGGTTTCAGATCCCAGCACTGCAGCATCCTGGTCACTTAATCTTGAACAGATTACATAATCCCTCTGTACCTTTGTTTCCATATCTGAAGAAAAAAGGGGTGGTGGAGATAATCTCATCTACTTCACAGCTTTTGCTATAAGGATTAGTCTGAATATATGCAAACCGCTCAGGAGAATGCCAAGCACCCGGTAGACACTTTGTAAGAATTAGCTGTTACTATCAAATTTTTGTTTCCTTTGCCTCCTCCCCCCACACAGTCGAAAGGGACATGGGAATATGCTCCTCCTTAATAAACACAGATCGTAGGTTACTTGAGGGCAGGGGCCGGTCTCAGTCATCTCTGTACCTATGTGTGCCACACCCTGGCACACATAAGTTCTCAATGAAAACTTACTATGTGCCAGGCCCTGTGCCAAGTGCCTTATTCATCACTCTTTGTTTGACCCTCATGAAGATCTTACGCGGTGTGAATCCCTCCTCCATTTCACCGTTACACATCTGAGGCTCTGAAAGGTTAAGGAACTTGTTCAAGGTCACAGTAAAAAAGTGAAGAAGGATCAAAACCCAGTTTTATTGACATCATCAGCCTTGGTCCCTAACCCCCTGTCAGTATGCCTTCCAGAATATTCCATTGGGAAGTTTTGAAAGATCATAAACTCTAACCCCCTGGTTTTACATTTGAAGAAAGGGAGTTCATTGATTTATTCAAGGTCACCCAGCTATTGTGCATGCAGAAATAGGACAAAAACTTGGTATACTGCCTCAATCTCACGCTTGACATTTCAAGAGGAAATGAAGCCTTATTCAATAGCTATTAAAATGTACTGATCAGTATTCTATCAGTTTGACCCTGGTTTTTGGGCCCTTTCTTTGTTATACAAATGTAATCTCCTGGGGCATCCATCTAAATTCTGAGGAAGGAAAGGCGTACCCATTCCTCCAGAAACTGCCTGCCATGTCATTTCTCCTGCCTTTTCTTGACTACAAACCAGGCGCAGAACCAGAGATGCATCTCACTTGCTTGATGGCAAAGCTCCCTCACAGGCCCTCGGTGGAAAGGTACTGTGTCTTGTCTTGTTTGGTTGTATCATACAATGATCAAGAGCTCTGAGTACTCAATGGGAACCCAAAAGACAAAGAGGAAATCGCCAGCACTTCGAATGCCCCCAGTGAACCTGAGGGCATCATGAATTTGTAGTCTCCAGAAAGAGTGCTACCAATTTTGGAAAAGACCTCTGGGTGTGAATCACAGCTTTGCCACTTCCTCGCTTGTAAGAAATTGAATATGCAATTTAACTTTTTTGAGCTTCAGTTTTCTTTTTTCTTTTTTACCTTTTGACTCCTTTTAGCCACCCCTCGCACACCACTGGCAACCACTGATCTGATCTCTGTATCTGTGAGCTGGCATTTTTTTTTTTTTTAAGATTCTACACATAAGTGAGATCATATGGTATTTGTCTTTATCTGTCTGACTTGTTTCACTTAGCATAATGCCCTCAAGGTCCATCCATGTTGTCACAAATGGCAGGATGTCCTTCTTTTTCATGGCTGAATAATATTTCATTATATATATCTATTTATATTTTATATATATGTATAATATATATAATATATAGATAGATATAATATATGTGTGTGTGTGTGTGTGTGTGTGTGTGTATACACCATAATTTCTTTATCCATTCATCCATTGATGGACACTTAGGTTGTTTCTCTATCTTAGTTATTATAAATAATATTGCAATGAACATGAGGGTACACATGTCTTTCTGAGTTAATGTTTTCGCCTCTGTTTTCTTGACTGCAAAATGGACATTAAACAATATCTGAAGATCGGAGGAAATGCTGTATGGAAAGTGACTTGAACGGAGCTGGTATTCAACTAATGCTAATTCCTCTCCCTTTTTCTTGTCTTAGAAATCTTTTCCAGCTTATCATCCCAAGGTTGGTGAGTGTTACAGCGAAGGGAAATGACTCCAGCTGAATCCTGACAGATAAAAGAATCCTGACAGATGAGATGGAGAAGGGTAGGGAAAATATTGGTGGCAGGTGGATTCCAGGCAAAGAGTGCTGTGTGAACAAAGCCTCGGAGGCAGGAAACTGATGGCTGGAACATGAAAGGTTGGGAGATGGGAATTAGGGCATAGGTTTGGAGAGACAAGCAAGGACAGGCCTGCTGCTGCGTAACTGCGGGGGTAGCCATCACACTGTATTCCGTGTGACGGTCCCCCTCTGTGGAGCCCTGGGAAGGGCCAGATCACAGAGGGCCTTGCATGCTTTTCTTTGGAGTGTAACACTTTGTTCGGAAAGCCAAGGAGAACAAATTAATCATCTGAAGTGAGAGACAGCATGAATTCAGATTTATATTTGAAAAACTTTATAGGAGCAGTAGTGCAAAAGTTGAATTTGCTAGAGAAAGACTCTGGGCGGGGTGACCAATTATGTGACTATTGAAATTGTCAGGAAAGATTCTACGGAGGCCTGATCCAAGGCCAGAATGCTGGGAATGGGGAGGGGGGATGGTTAGAAGATGTGCCGAGAGAGGATCTCTGGGACTCAGTGAACCATGGTGTCATTGGTGGGAATGGGTAACACCGCAGCGGGTTGAGAGGAAAAGACAATGAGTTTTGGACCCTTCGGAGCCTAAGGAGGCCATGGGACCACCAGGCATAACTGTCCAGGGGGAAGGGGGATATGGACTGAAGCTCAGAGAGATACTGGTGCCCATTCCAGCGGACATGGCACAGTGGACTGGCAGAACTGGCAGAGAGAGTGAGATTAGCCAGGGAGAGGGCGGAGGCTAGACAGGAAGGGACAGCAGCCAAGGACAGAAAATTGGGAAACACCTACATTTTAGTGACACAGGGAGCCTGAAGAGTCTGCCAAGAAGACTGAGAAGGTACAGTTGGAGAGGTAGAAAGCAAAAACTCAGAGCGCGTGGTCGCAGCTGCCAAGTTTAAGGAAGGATGTGATCAGTGGCGTCAAATGCTCTTTGGACCATCCCTGGAGCCCAGGACGTCAGTTTCAGTTCCAGCAGGTTCCACTGAAAAGAGCTCAAGTGCCTTGGCAGAAACAGGATCTCCTGCCCAATCTGACAAGAGACCAACCATCCGTCCATCCCTCCTAAGCCAGGAGAGCACCCGGCAGAGACACACATGTGCATCTACTGTGCAAAGCTGAGCATGCAACCTTCAAAGAAACCACAAAGGAGCTACTCATTTTTAAAGGAAAAACACATGAATTCCGCGGGCATAAGGAAGACATTAAGACAGGGTCGAGGAGGAGAAATCATCCCTCCATTTCCTTTTAGCCTTCACAGAAACGATCGGCTGAGAATACAGTCGTTAAAAAATAAAGAAGGCAAGAGCTGGAATATTCTGTTTTCCATCTCCTACCACCCCAGAAAACACGGGGCACAAAATGTCTGTGCAGCGTACATGTGTCTTCTGGCTTAAAATCCCCGGGAGTAGCTAGGGGTGGTAACAAATGTGAAAACTCTAGGGTTCAGGTGAAGCAGCCAGAGACTCTTACCGAGGGGTCTTCATTCCCTGGCAGGGCTTGGGGAGAGCTGGGGCAAGAGACGCTGTGCAATTTTACTGCCATGAAATTGGCTCCAGATGGAAGCCAGGAAAGGTGTTTACTCCCTGCTGGTGCCAGGCACAGAAAGAACCTGAAGCATCTACCGTCTTAGGTTCCTAATTCCCCAGTGCTGGGCAGCAACCCCGCCGAGGGTCTGGCCAGGGCTCATGGTGATGGGTGGACCAGGGTTGTCTGTTGCTTGGGAAAGGCTATTTTGAATGTAATGACTTTCAGATGGACTGTGGGCTTGGGGGAAGGTGTTGTGGCTAGGATCTGGAGAGGAAGGAGCAGGGGAGAAAGAGGTGTTCCTTTACGGTGCAACAGAAACAACACATGCCTTGTCAGCGCCTTCTCCAGGTTGAATTTCCAGAGGCCGGCTCAGAAAGGGCGAAACCGTGGCATCTTCTGCTGTGTTCCCAGATCCTCTATCCCCCAAACCCATGATTCACAAGTATTCTCTCTTCCTGAGAGCACGTCTCCCTTTGGGTTGACCTGTAGCCAGCTCCAGGGTGGAGAAGCTGGGCAGCTGCGGACCCAGACGGGATGCTGACTGAGAGCTTTGTGGCTATTGCAGACGGGAGGGGTTAGTTTCACCCACTCAGAGGCACCCGCATCCCACTGACTAGTGTGGAATTGTACCGCTCCCGCCTTTTCAGCGAGGCTGGCTTGAGAAGGCAGGCGGAGGCAACGGGTGTTCTCTGGCTTACAGCGCCCCCTAGCACTGGCCAGCGGGATAGAACTCCGAGCTCTCCACCTGCTTCTCTGAATACTGGAAGGGGTTGGTGGGGCCAATCAATACGGCTCTTTCGACTAATACTTAAATCTTTGTAACCAACACTTGATCCCTGTCCTCAAAGGGCTTACAATCCAGAAAGGGAAACAGATGGGTAAACAATCACCGTACAGTCAGCTAAGTGGTGTGAAAGAAAGCCGTACAGGGTGCTGTTGGGGATACACAGGAAAGGGTTGAGGAAGACAGGGGAGGGGAATCAGAAAAGCCTTCCTGGAGAAGGTGACATTTAAGCTGCAATCTGAACACAGTATAGAAGTTCAATGAATTTTGAAAATAATGTATGGAGACAAGAGAAGACATACTTCTTTATCTTTTAGTGCTTCTAATCCTAGAGGCAGACAGTAAAACAAGTAATTACAACAGGAATTGTAACAAGACCACAGTCTCTCCTGTGCCTTTGCCATCACAATCTTTGTTTTCAGCCTGAGTCTTGAGGGGAGAGCTAGTTAGGAACTCAGCAAGGGTTGACTGAGAGACGGACGGATGCCCTTCAGTCTTGGGCACATTCGGTTTGCCTCAAACCTGTTTAAAGGGTAAGATCTGTCTTCTCTTCAAAAACGCTCACCTTATCATTGAGAATTTTCCATGGAATCATAGACTTTTCAAGCCAAGGGGGATCTTAGAGACACTGAGTTATATCTTTCGTCCAATAAAATGGAAATGGAGGCCTAGAAAGGAGAGGTGACTTGTCTACACACACAACTCTTCTGCAGCAAGCTTTGGAACAAATCTCAGATCTTTTGCCTTTTTTTTTTTTTTAACCTAAGCATCTTTTGTCCCCCAGAAAGAAAGTTTTCACATATCTCTGCAGCAACATGTTTGGAATGTTTTTAAAAGGTATTAGATAATAACTTAGAAAGGAAAAAATAAACACACAAGAGATAAACTTCTGAGAAACAGAGAGCTGTATTCGTTCTAACTGGCTCAGAGGTGATGATTATCATAATAGACAACTATTTCACCAGTGCAGGTGGAATTCTCCACAGGTTGGTCACTGTACCATGACTCTGAAACAAACTCATCTACGGATCTAAAATGCAGATCTGAAATGCAGATCCAGGACTGGGAGTGGCTGAGATTTCCACGGCCAGAGTGCAAGCATTAGGTCATGTACTGCGGTGGGGGACCAAGGCCCAGGAGTGTGTGAGAGAGGGTACAGGGAAGGAGTCCTGGAGCTGCAATGCAATCTTGGCTCTGCCACTCGCTGACCTTGGGATGCCGGGCAAATTTCTTCACTGGTCTGAACCTTACTTTCCCCATCTATAAGAATAGGATGGGACTTCTAAATGTCTACGAGAGACTTCCCATAGATTCCAGCATTCTGTAACTTGAGATGATGGGGATGGTCATGAAAACATCTTTCCTAGAAAAGTTCCAGGAAAGGGAGTACCAGGTCAGCCTGGTAGGTTGGAGGACAGGCCAGATACACTTTGAAACTTCTTCAGTTCTTCCAAGGTTTACAAATCTATCACTGTTCTTAGCTGTCAAGAAAAAGTGAGGGAGCCAATATTTTCATTCTTACCATCAGCCTCAGGTCCACTCTATCTAGCTTATAAAGTGGCCTTGAAAAAGCAATTCTTACATATTATTATATCCAAGGACACTATGACATCTGACTGATGGCTGTGAGGTCTGCTTGCTGGAGGGGCTGATTCTGGCAGAAAGCCCTCATCCTCCTCCCCACCCCACACCCCAAGGATTCATGGAGCTCACTCTTTTTCTTCTTCATGGTAAGGACTGAGCTAACCTCCCATGAGTGGGTAGAGGGGAATCCCCTCAGGTTAAACACTAGGAAGAACTTCCCAACTGAAGAGAAGCTGAGCTTCAAAGATGAAGTATAGACAAGCTTAGGAGAGTGAGAGGAAGTAAACCAAAAGCAATTTTGTTACCTTTCAGCTCAAAAAAACAATCAGATTACTCTCGCGCCTACATAATTAAGTAGCTGCCGTAATCAAATGTTTCAGATGCTTTACTGTAAGAAACCTGCTGCTTGAAATTCAGCAAACTTATCTGCCTTATACTCATATTCTAGGTAAGCCTTCCCTTGGAGAAAACATTGGCATTTTGGACAAAATCATAAAGTGAAAAGAAAAAAGAGAAGAGAGGGCCTCTGTCACACAAGATGCTTATCCACAGTGGATTTAGTCTGGAAAGGCTTATAAAACCTTCCACATGACTGGCACTGTGCAGGGATAAGTGAAACTCTCAAATCCCTCCAAGTATGCCCTCATTCAACCTGGATCCTTGGAGCGGACTCCTGAGTGTCCACTGCTTAAGACTCAGGGGATTGCTGGCCACACCTGCACTCGAGTCTCCTGAGACCCTCTTTTGTACTGAGGGCTAAAAAGCAGTGTGGCCAAATATCTCAGTCCTCAAAGTGTTTCTAGTGTGGTTGGGGAAATAATACAACTCTAACCCATGAAATGATGAGCAAAGTGCGTGAGTAAACACTGAGATAAGGAAAGTTCTGTGTGCGTCAGGCTATAGTTACAGCCAAAGTGGGAAGGGTCTTAAAAGTTGGGATGGGGACAAGACAGAAAAATGGTGGAAACTAGATTCCTTTCCTGATAGCTAAATGTTTTAAGGGAGTAAAAGGAATTTTAAAAACGTTCTTGGAAATACCATTTCCAATGAAATTTTCTGCTTTTGCCATCCCAATGTCACTTCTCTGAGGTATAAATAGAGGAGTTTCTGAGAAAGAGCTTGAACTTGCATTTCTGGGTAGTATTCCCAGTCCTTACTTTGTTCCAAACTTTTAGTATATCTATAGCCAAAACATTCAAGTCTCTAAACGAGATGAGGTAGTAGAGAAAGGGAGAGAGACGCAGGAGAAAAAAGATAGCCGAGTCTGGCTGGAAAAGGGCATTTGCACAGTTAGAGCTAACTGCTACTAAAGACCAGGAAAATAAATCTCTCTCTTAAGGTGAAAATGAGTGAACTGAGTTCTTGGTTGGTTGCCAAGTCATGTCATCTCTCTGTGCCAGTTTCCTCATCTGGAAACCGTGATTAAAACTATGTGTTTTCCCTACCTAAACGGGTGATTGTGAAATATAATGAGGTGAGATATGAAAAGTACAAGGCAGAATCAAGATGTTACTTAATAATAAGGACAGTCACAGTATTAGCTATTAGCAATTAGCCATGACAGTTTATAATCTAGGATCCTGGAGAGTCCTCCAGGATCTGGTTTTACCCCAGTTTTGGATCAGTTCACCCCTCAATTCCTCGCTGAAGGATGACGATCTGTCTGCCCTAGGTGGGGATACCATTTATTCCTGCTCTTTCTACTTACTGTTTTTCAAATAAGCTCAGGACCTTTGCACTTGCTGTTCTCCCAGACTGGTGTTCTTCCATGTTTTCCCATGGCTGAGCCTCTGTGTTCACATCTCAGCTAGGATGTCACCTCCTCAGAGAGACTTTTCTCTTCCTGTCCCACAGAAGGCAGCGACCTCCACAGTCATTTTGAACCCATTACTCTGTTTTGTGCTCCTTATAGCACCATCGCCATAGACTTCCTATGTATTCAGAGATTTACTGATGTATTGCCTGCAAGTTCCGTGGGTGCAGGAACTTTGTTTTGCTCATCCCAGCATCTAGAACAGTTGTTTGTTGAATGACTTCACCATTTGCTCCGGCTGAGTCTGGGAGCCGACTATCTTGTATAGCCATCTCCCAAAGGCAGATGGCTTCCTCATAACCAGGAAAGTCAGGGGCGGGAGTGGGAGGTAAAGGGTCATCTACCTGTTTTCCCCCCTTGACCCTGCTCTCTCCAGAGAAGGTGGAGAGGTAGCCTTTTCCCTAGCCTTTCCACCAGGTGCAGACAATGTCTCCAGGGCCAGGGCCGCCTCTGACCCGCGGAAGGATAGTTGCTGGAGTAGGTGGTAGTTGATTCTGGTTTGGGTCAGAGTCGCCCAGAGGGCGGGGTGGGCGTGGGGAGATGGTGTCGGCGAGAGGGGACATGATGGTACAGCTCTGAGGGACACTCTGCGGCGCGGATCGGAGGCGCGTCCCAGCCCACCCACTCGCGTGCCCACAGCCGTATTATTCCCTATAAGGATCTGAACCGTCCCGGTGGCCCCGCCCCGTCGCCCCGCCCCCGGCCCCGCCCCCTTTTCGGAGGGTCGATGAGGTAATGCGGCTCCGCGATTGGTCGGAGGGGCGGGCCCCGAGCGCCCAAGAGGGGGAAACAGCGCTATATTACTCAGCCGCCCGGCAGCGGCGCAGAGTGGGCAGCTGGCGGGCTCTCGGACGGCTTCTCCTCCTCCTGCCTTTCCAGCTCCTGCGGCTGCTCCCGCTCCTTGACCCGGAGAGAGCGGCGGCCCTCGGAGTCGA